AATCGATAAAATGCTGGGAAATTCTTGAGTAGCTGCAGGATTGGCGGCTCCTCAAGAAGGGCTCAGCTCCATGCGTAAGTAAGTAAGTAAGAAGATGGATAGTCTTCTGTGACAAGTCGGCGTACTGCATGAATATATGCTGTTGACACACAAATATCGTAAAACACCCGTGTGGAGGCGGGGTCGAATACCTCCACTGTGACCCTGCGAGTCGTAGGAGGCGACGAAAAGAGAAGTCTCAACTCTGAGACAGTAAAATATGGTCGCGAGTCCCAAAGGATTTGGACCTGAGAAAGATTGCGCTGGCAATGACCAGCAGCATATACAAAAGACAGACCCGTTCTCTCTTCAGAAAGGGCTCCCCACAAAAACAAAACCGTAACTTTCAAACAGTAATAAATATTTGGTGATGAGCCCCAGATGGTGCTCAGCACCAAGACTTACTGACTAACTGACGGTCAGTCGCAATGTGACTTTGACTTTGACTAACGTAAGAGAGGCTTTTCAGTACGCAGAGCATCAAGTTACGTTTGACAAACCTTATAAGAAAAAAATACACCTGAATTCTGACTACGTGCATATCGTTGTTAGTAATTATTGTAATGAAACACACACATGAATACAACATGCGTCTATATTTCTGTTATTAAACTTCATACCTTTATAATACTTTATTTTGCGTCCTTTCGCCGAAACTCCTCAATTAACCGCCGTAATCAATAATGTTTCTTTAATGTAGTCAATCATTTTCTATCGTTCTTCTCAAATGTTGACATTTTGTGTCTCACTTATCTATTAGAGCTACAAATTTGTCAGATCTCCCTGGATAGGGAAGGAACCCATTGGAAGACAGGAGACAACAGCACGAAATGAACACCGATATAATAACAGCACCCCGAGCGGAATTCGAATTCTTTCACCCCCTGTGATCACCTTAATGTTACATTTAACAAACGATTGATTTTTAAGCAAATCACAAAATAAGCAATATTTGTATAAACTTACTGAAAGCAGAAGTACTGGCAATTTCGTCTCTTGTTTCTTGAATAGTTTCGAGATATGAAATTTCGTTTTCTTTTCTTGAGAGCACATCCAATGTCCAGCAGGGTAATGTGAAGAGAAATTCGCAGTAGCACACAAAGTACTGCATCAACGAAACCAAAATGCGCGAATCCGAACAGGTTTCCCATACACTCGCTGACTATACGTCACAAGTCAACACCTCGTGAGTACAAAAAAATGTGGGGGAGGGGCAAGAAAAAAGAAGAATGTAGCACCGTCCAAGAGTGAACCACCCCTGAACAAATGTATTGTAGTAATGGACATTCAAGGAAAACTAACGTAAACAAATCAGCTTTCTTATCCACCTGGTATGTCATATTTGAAGAAAACATTTAGTTAAGTCAAGGTTACTCAAAGTTAGTAAAATTCCACGAAATTTGAGGAAGTTTACTTTTCTTACGGAATACCGGAAACATTGCTTTCTTCTGTTTCTGAATCCAATGGAAGGCAAAATGAAGTCGAAGTTCAAACCACCGAGATCCAACACGCGAATTCAAGAGTCATCACTTCATTTAACACATTTTTCTTACTATTCAACAGGTTATGAGCAGTTACTTGAAAATGTTCGAGCCTGTTTTCCCCCTTATCGTTATGTTCAGTCACCACAATAGCGTGTATAACTACTATGTAATATTCTATATAACGTCTTTCGACCCTTTCTGGACATCGTCATGTAAATACATTTGTGCATTCATCTTTTGTTACGTATAGGAGATGTATTTCAGCCCAAGTGTATTCAAATTATTATATTGTCACGTGTTGGGTATATGTCACGCGACAAGTATTATTATTATTATTATTATTATTATTATTATTATTGTCNTGTTTTCATTATTTTCCGTACCTTATATACTCGTGCTAACTTTGTAATTGGCCACTGTGCTGTTAAGTTTTTGCACGCAAATAAAAATGAATTGAATTATTATTATTAGAGGGGGTGGGTTTCCCCATGCACTTAGACCTGTTATTAGTCCATTGTGCGTCCCCCTTTAATTTCTACTGTCGCTACACCCTACCGATACTGGTGCGTGCTATCAGCCTCGTTCAGCCAACGAGGTCGGCCGTCGGTACCTGATATTTCCCCATCTACCAGAGGCATTGGTAGGACTTGTTCCCTGAATTTTTCCGCCCTTAAAAATTCCACCACCTCCGCCGGGTTTGAACCCGCGTACCTTGAGACATGAGGTGGGAACGTTACCCCTAGACTACGGAGGCCGCTCACGCGACAAGTAACTTCACGCCTTATTTGATATAGCGAATTTATTGAACACTCGCTCTCACAATCACACAATTTACAATCTCACAATTACTTCCATCTGCAGTATCACAATTACTTCTCCTGTTTCCATTCACTCCGAAGAGTGCTAGACTGTAACTGATTGGTTACTTTCTCTCTAGTAACTCATTTGTAACTGGCTCAATCCTCACTACTCACTAACTAATCACTCACTACTGAATAGTGTTCGCTGCTCCTTATTTAGCCTCGGCGCAGACAACACAGAAAACAGTTACGTGATAAGTACCGCTGTTGCCTGACGCCGTGTTTACAAGTGTTGCTAGCAACGCTGTCGGGAGTTGTTTACGGCTGGGTAATAACCACGGTATCCCTCGGTAACAGCACCGCGGCAATGGTTGCCTGACACAGTTACTCCTCTGTTACGTCACCGCGGGGGAGGGGTTGTTTGCCGAGCGTTGCGCACTGATGGAAGGAGTTGGGGTGTGTGACGGCACTCGAGGAAACGCAGACTTCACGTGACTCCCACTTCCCGTTGCCCCATCCACGTCACGATATGTAATACATTGGTCAGTGAAGGGATAAATAGCAGTAAAGTAAAGAGGTGAATGTACAAATCACATGACAGTGGCCAGAGAGGACCGAAATATGTTGTTTCATGAAACGAAATCGCCACTTACATTTCAACGAAACTTCAGATGTGAATATGGACATCCGACAGATTTTAAAAG